TCTAATTTTATATTCTTTAGAGAATTGCTATAAAATTGTGTTCATTTATGAAGAAAATTAAATGATAAAAAGTTAATTGCAAAATTTAATTAAAATAAATCTGAAATTTGTAGAAAAACGTTAGAAATAAATAAAAAGTATATAATAAAATTTAGAGTAGACGGTGGCAATTTAAATTTAGAAAATCAATTGAAAACAGCTAGAACTTCTGCAATATACATTAGCAAAATTACATAAAATGCTTTGATTGAATGTTGTGAAGAAGAAATATGTGAAATTGTGATTTGTGTTAGAGAATCAAATTATGTTTGAAGAAACAACTGAGGCATCACATCAGTTACAAATGATAACAATATTATGCTATTCGAACTGATGGATCAGTTCGATAAGATTTTGTTGGATATGCTGATTTGCATGATCAAAATCAACAAACTAAAAGTAATGCATCCATTTACAATGAACCTATTCCTGACGGCAAAGTTATCGGTCAATCAGTTATAAAGGTAAACCTTTCTTTAGAAAAATGTGTCGGTGTGGGAATGGTTGTAGTGTTATGTCGTTATTGTTAAAAGGAGCGGTAGTTGAAATTTAACAAGTTGAGTAAAATGCTGTTTGGTGTCCATGTTATGTTGTGTCATGCTTTAAATTTAATTTTATCCAAGAGTTCGAACGTACAAGCAATAGGAAATATTTTGTGCGTTATTAGCAAAGTTCTTGCTTTTTTTAATTCTTCTGCAAAACAAAATTTTAATATAAAAAAATGCTAAGTTCACAACTGCTTTCACTCTGCGATACACGATTGGTTGAAAGACATGATGTTTTGCTGACGTTTAGTGTTGAGCTTCCACAAATAATTGATGCACTCGACAATATATCTAAATAGAATGACAAAAATTTTTCATCAAAAGCAAGATAGTATTTTTTTAAAACTAATAATATATAAAAGTCGCGGGGTAAAGCACAAGTGGTGATGACGTTTGTCTGACGGGATAAACTAGTTATAAATGCTGATCCTCATCGAAACGCCAGTAATATTAGACACGACTCTGAGGAGATGTTTATTACTTAATCACTTCGCAAATTATGTTTACACATTAGCATTAATGTTTTTTTTCCATTATTGGGCCTTTCATTATTGTTTGCATACTTTTTATTTTGTGATCAGTTTTTTGTTTTTTAAGTTTTTGACTGGTGATGTATTTGCTGTATATCTTCGTTCGTATAGGTGTTTATAAAACAATTTTTTTTATTATTTTTTTTTTATTGTTATTATTGTTGAGTACTGTTTTGGGTGTATAGCCTGTCTTATTTATTTTTAAATATTCCTCTATTAATCTTTATTTTTGTCTTGACAACTGTCAAAATATGCTTTGTCTAATAAATAACTTTCCTTTATTCTAATGTGCTTTATTTCTTCCGTTAGGCGTTCACTGCTCGTGTGTGACCATTCGGAGAACTTTATATGCCAAAGTTTTTAAATAATATAATTGATGCGCTGGACATTATATCTAAATAGTATGACAAAAAAATTACATCATCAAGAATTGTGTTATTATCAATTAGAGAAAGTGATTTTATTGTATCTTTAGGCTTTGCAGTACATGTGTTCTCCTTAACAAACAGGATCAGTCAGTTATTTCAAAAAAAAATTTAGATTTACATAAAGAAAAAAATTGCATTAAAGACCTGTTAATTGTTTTAAAAGTTAAAAAAGAAAACTGGAAAAATGTTAGAGTCGCAGAAAAAACAATAATTGAAAAATATGGTGGTTCTACCTACAAAAAAATTGTACAACGATAGACATGTCGTAAAAATATACCTTCAGATACAATAAAAGTATATTACAGGCGCTCAATTTACATCCACCAACTTGATATTGGACATAAATACACGTTTTTCTAATAAAAATTTACAATGTCTTCAAATCCATGTTTTGATGTCAAAAATATTATTACACTGAATTATAAAGATATTGTTAAAACTTTTTCTTTTTTAGTAATGTCTATGGTTTCATTTTTGGACTTGAATTTACATCGGAAGTTGAACTATGGCAGTGCAAATTTATAAGGATGAAAGATGAGCGAGGAATCTCATCACTACTTACTGATCTTTTTGTTGTTTTTGATTTGTGTGACCGGGTACAATATCCAATCACTCACAAGTTGTTTCAAATTATCAAGTCATGTCCTGTAAGTGTCACCAGTGCTGAACGTAGTTTCTCAACGTTGCAAAGAATTAAAAATTGATTGAGAACACGAATGACAGAAAAGAGACTAGTCGGGTCGGTCTTACTTAATGTGCACAGTGAAATTCCAGTAAATGTTGAAAACGTGATTGACCGTTTTGCGAAGTCGGGAAGTAGTAAATTAGAATTTATAATATAAGTTGCTAAAATAATTAACGAATTAAGTATAAAAATACTAAATAAGAAAAAATGTTTTTTCAAATCATGTAAGGGCGGATCCATGGGAGGGAAATGGGGGGGAAGCAATCCCCCCCCCTCCCCCTCTTTTGAATCCACTTTTTGAAAAGGATACCTTTAAGTGTTTAAAATATCCTTTGACTATATTATTGTTTATGTAATCTGGTCCAATTGAATTTTTTTTAGAGATTTGAAAGCTCTTTTAAACTTTTGAAAAGATGGTTCAGAAGATAATTTGTTGAAACTAATCAATTTTCTATCTGTACCAAAAAATCTCTAATGTTGCATTGGCATAAGAAGTTGTATCTACTAGCTTAGGACTGATGCCAACAAAGAATTTATTAAATTCATGAGCTATAGCTTTTGATTTGCATATATGTTTGTTATCAACTATAATTAACTGGGGGAGGGAACCTGAGTGTTATTTTTTTCTACCGCTAGTTTTCTCCATTATCTGCCAAGTACAAGTAAGTTATTTTTAAGTGTACCTATTATTTTATCCAGTGACGGTTCCAGGATTTTTTCCTGTATCCGTCAGTAAGTTAGATAGCTAACTTCCAGACATGGAGCAAACATTTGCATATTTATACTGTAAATAAAAGGCTTTGCAAAAAATTGCAATGATTGGAGGCTGGAAACAAAAAAGCTCTTTAACTCCCTTACCCGAGCCCAAACGTGAGGGGCAACAAGTTGATAAAATAGTTTTAGTACTATTTTTTACTAGACTTATATTCATCAATAAATTTCAAGTTTCATAGAATTATCTCTCAGCGTTCAAAAATTATGACCATATAAAGTTTAAAGCCCCCTCTATAAATCTAGTTTAGAGTGTGTGAGAGGGGGAGGAGGAGGGTGAATGAACTTAAAGGGCTTTTTCTTTCCCAGCCTCCAATCGTTACAATTTTTTGAAAAACCTTCTTATAAGTATAATATTCGTGTCAGGAAGTTAGCTATCTCAAAAAATCCTGGATCTGTCACTGATTTAATGTAAAGCTTCTATTTTATCATTGATAATTTTCTAAACCCCTTGGTTGCCCAAGGCTTAGTCACCCTAAAGGTTTCTCCTCCCACCGGTCGCTTTGTTAAAGTTTGTGTTTTGAGGCTAAAGGGTTGAGAGAAAATCAACTTTTAAAAAAGTAGTCTCTTCAACTCCAGTAACTCCCTCAATCGTTGGGAGATGAATACTGCAAAAACAAAACAAAAATTCCAGATAAATAAATCTTTGACTATAAAATATAAGAAAACATATGTACAACACTTAACTATACAAGGTATCTACATATGATAATTTGTTTATGTATGGCCATAATGCTCTTCCATTGTGTGGCCAACCTAAAATTTAATGTCAGAATGTATTGTGGAGTACATACTATAGTGTGACTTTAAACGGTATAGGAACAATAGCTATGTTTTATATGCTAACTTGCAACCACAACACCATTCCGTAAAGGAGCATAATTATTATATGGTTAAGTAACTGCTATATACTACCCACATAAAACTATCTTGTTATCACACCCCGAGTATTGCTATGCTTAACTAAACAAAGTTTATATTATAAAGAAGTTTAGTGAGGTGAAAAAAAATTGCATTGTCAATGTTTGCGATATATTTAAAAAAATTTAAACACTGCAACAACTGCATATATATATATATATATATATATATATATATATATATATATATATATATATATATATATATATATATATATATATATATAATTATAATGCAATATTACTCCAAATAGTGATAAGTTAATATAACTGTTTTTTTTACTGTTTTATACTAAATTTAAATTCATCGACTAGTTTTAAACTTTATTTAATCTTTCAGAGTTTGATATGGTGATGACCATATAAAGTTTAGATAAGGAGGTAGTACAACTTTTACTGTTTTAAACACCGAAATACTTAATAACTTAATTCATCTGTCAGTTTGATGGTGGTCACTGAATGTATTGCTAAGCAGTTTATCTTTTTTATTGACTTAATTTTAACCTAAAATTAAATTTAGTTAAAAACTAAAAGAAGAAAATATGAACATAAATAAACCATATGACTTTTAAAATCAACATTTGATGATCTTTAGTTGGATCATATAGACCAATAATTGGCTTCAGCCCCTGCATTTTTATTATAATTCAAAGAAAACTTTAAAAAATATATAAATTGTAACTTGTGAATAACAAATAAAACTTAATCAAACTATGTTTATTATGATTGAAAAAAAATATAAATCTAAAAAAGTAAATGAAAAACCCATGCTTATATAAAACTGATAAGCAAATAAAAAATCATTATTTAAAAAAATCAGTTTATTTACACAAATTATATAGCAGGAACACTAAGTGATCACTGCATTTATGGTTACATCCCCTTCATGAACAACAGATTACGTTGTTATTTTTTTATAAGAAATTTTAGATTTAAATACTTTTTATCCAGTAACTCCCATAGGGAGGAGATAAACAATAAAGCAATATATTGTATACTTTATTAAATTAGCATTTATGAAAAAATAGATATTTATATTCAAAACTTAAATTCTAAAAAATATATAAATTAATACCTTTTAT